TTTGTATTTCTGTCATTTCCTTGTAATCGTTCTATTTTCTTGTAATCGTCTATGTTTAGAATTTTATCTCTCTTGTAGATGAACTACGTCTGACCTGAATTCTCAAGAATGAGATACGTAGGCGGCCTATGTCGGCCTCGGTCGCTTTCTTTGTAAAATTCCTACTTTTGTTAATCCTTGAGGGGGAACTACGTTTGACCTATCTCTTTTAATATTTCTTTGTATTTGAACTACGTTCGACCTGAATTCTCTAGAATGAGATACGTAGGCGGCCTATGTCGGCCTCGGTCGCTTTCTTTGTAAAATTCCTACTTTTGTTAATCCTTTGAGGGGGGAACTACGTTTGACCTGATTCCTGCCTCAACGGGATACGTAGGCGCCACAAGGGTTCGGTCATATCTCCCGTGAGATTTCTATTTTTCTTTTACAATAGAAACTGGGACAGAATTTTTGAGAGAAACTCAAAAATTCTTAAGAAGAAGATCTTCCCAACAAAGTCAAGACTGAAGTTACTTTGGGATTTGCAACTGGGACATAATTTTTGAGAAGATCCCAAAAATTTCGTGATTTGCTCACCAACAGTTCGAGATAAGTTAAGACAGTTAACTGGGACAGAAATTTTTGAGGATGGCCTCAAAAATTTCAATAAGGTTCATCGGCAGTTTGGAACAACTTTGAATACTTCCAAGCAAGTAACCAGGCAGATCTCAAAACACTAACTCCGAATGACGTTCAATTAGCTTGACGTGACATGACACTTGGCAGTGATCTTTTCCAAATTTTATATTTTTGAAAATTTGTTTTCCCTAAAAACTTTCTTTCATGTTTCAATCATTTTTGCGTAAAAATGTTTTGTCTTACCTATCAAGAAGCGGGAGATCGGAGAAATCAACCGGAAATAGCAAAACAAGGAGCAAACAACCGAAGAGATCGACACATATCAGTTCATTTTAAACTAACAATTTTTCTACGGATGCAGGTCTATAAGCTTGTCTCAAGATCGGCATATTCCTTCATTCAATAAATATGGAGAAGTCAAAGGGGCAAAGAGCTCCCCAAAATTTGACAATTTTTCTGTGGGTGCAGGAAATATCTTATGTTCTTTATATCAAATATTCGGGAATATGAATAGCATTATTTCAATCAAATTCTCAACAAGGCGAAATCCATAATGGACATACGATTATGTTCGGAGTGGTGACAAATGAAAACCTTGAAGAGAGAAGTGTTATTATTTTCCAGCAACTAAAGATACCTGGAAGATATTTATCTGCATTATATTATCATATATGATAATATTCTTACCCTGAAGGTTATTTATATTGTATTGTCGAATGAGACGATACCACTACCCGGAGAGTCATTTATATCGTATCGTCAAAAGAGATGATACCACTACTCCGAGGGTCATTGTTAATTATATTGTTGATTGAGACGATATCACTACCCGGAGTCATTTATACCGTATTGTCAAATGAGATGATACCACTACTCCGAGGGTCATTTTTAATTATATTGTTGATTGAGACGATATCACTACCCGGAGTCATTTATACCGTATTGTCAAATGAGATGATACCACTACTCCGAGGGTCATTTTTAATTATATTGTTGATTGAGACGATATCACTACCCGGAGTCATTTATACCGTATTGTCAAATGAGATGATACCACTACTCCGAGGGTCATTTTTAATTATATTGTTGATTGAGACGATATCACTACCCGGAGAGTCATTTATATCGTATTGTCAAATGAGATGATACCACTACTCCGAGGGTCATTTTTAATTATATTGTTGATTGAGACGATATCACTACCGTCATGCATCGCGGGAAAGAGATTCATGCATCGCGGAAAAGTCATGCATCGCGGGAAAGAGATTCGTGCATAGCAAGTGAAGGATTCATGCATCGCGGGAAAGAGAACCGTGCATAGCAAGAGAAGGATTCATGCATCGCGGAAAAGAAGTTATGCATTGCAAGAGAAAGATTTAC